GCCAGAGTGAAAAAGATAATCCAGAACTTACTGATGATTCGGATGATGACTTTGTACAGCCCCGGAAAAAACGCCTCAAAGGAGAAGACCGTCAGTTGCTTAAATGAGCCACATGTGTTACTATGGAACATTTTTTAAAAACTAAGAATATTTATCACTGTTAATTGCGAAAAGGGGAAAAATCATGACTGCTTTGACTTGTAGGTTTGTAGATATTTACTAGACTTTCCACCCCTTGTCTGAAACACAAATCTAATGGAGATCAAGGCATGTGGAGAGCTTCTCTGAAGTTCCAAACTTTCGTCGTGCTTTTGGAGCAGCACAGATATTGCCATTCGTATGGGGTGACAGCTGTTTAACTTTACTTTGAGGAAGAAAAGAAGTTTGTATAGAATTGAACTTTAAAACATTACATGGGTTCAACATGTGGCGCTCTGAGTTTGAAGAAAATGTGATCTCACCAGACTTTTAATTTTACCAAAGGCATGTGGCTGGCCATAATTCGATTTCTTTGTACTGTATTTAACACAAGCCATGAAAACAGATGGTGTAATATTATTGTCCTGCAATACTGACTGGTACAATGAAAGTGTAGTTGCCCCCAAAGAAGTTATTGGTAATTTTAAAATGTAAGGGAGAGTGTATTAAAAATAACTTTAAAAAAAAAAAAAGGAATTTGATGGTTTTTAATGGAGGAAGTAAAGGACAGAATACTTTGGTTTGCACCATTTTTCTCACCACCAGCAAGAAACAATGGTATTCCTGTACTATTTTGTTTAACAGGTGTCTGAAGTTTGATGTCGCTCTGTTTAATGGAGTTGCTGGCACAGACTCGAGGGGAAAAATGTTTGCTTGCAACTATCAGTCAGTCTTTGTGTATGTTTAGAGAGGGGAAAAAAGCATCCTGTCTGTCCACAAGCTCCTGTTTGTTTTCCAAATTTCTAAATATATTGTTGTCAGAATGCAACCAGCATCATTATTCACTTGGAAATACACAAGTTTGAAGAGGTGGAGAAAAAAGAAAGATATTGCTCTTCAACCCTTCATCTGTCCCTGTTAAAACCACTAGAAGGTGAGGACAAATTAACCGTTTTTTGTTCTGTCTCCTTTCCAGAAGTTCTGACAACAATATAGATGGTTATTTCTGCCATCAGAGGTTGCACAGTTAGGGAAGTATTTGTCTATGGTTACTCCAGCTATTGGTTTATACTCTTCATTTATGTCATCTTAAATGAAAACTGAGTTTTCAGGAGAGCAGGCAGTCTTTTGGATTAATTGAGCTCTGATTGTGCCAGAATTTTGCAGATGGAATTGTGAAGACATCCAAGAGTACACAAGCTTGCTTTTGACTTGCTGTGTAGCACTACTGTGGTGCTATGGATAGATCATTGAAGAGACTAGCTACAAGTGCTGCTTGTGCCTCCCTGCTGTGTACATAGGCACTCAGAAAAAGGCCCCTTTTTTCCTGTCACCAGATGAGATACTACCCAGCTGCCTTTGTCATAGGGTGGCACTGTACACTTAAAAGTAGTGGACACTTCAAAAGAACACTCAGTTGTGTTTGCAGCAGGCCTTTGACATAGCTTTTGAAATGTCATGACCATGTGGTTGATTTTTTTTAAGCTGCCCAGAGTAACCGTTTATTTCTCCCCCCCACCTCTTTTTTGTATTGGTTTTTTTTGGGGGGTGTTTGGGGTTTTGGGGTGGTTTTTTGTGGAAAGTTTTTATTACCTGAAGAGAGTTGCTTGCAGCAGGAGTTTTACCATCCCAGAGTACCAGGAAAAAAAGGAAGAGAGGTGAAGGAGCAGAACAGGACAGTGAGGGAGACCATTCTAACAAGACAGGTGTGATCAGTGCACACTACAGTAGCACAGACTGAAGAAATAAGAGGCACTGCCATTGCAACATCTAAAGTCTTAAAGATCTAACAATGCCTAGAAGTCCTAGATAGCCTGTCACCAAGTTTAACAGTGCTTCCAGAGGAAGGTGCTGTGTGTTTCTCGACCGTAAGTTACAAGCACAGATTTATTAGGAGGCTTAGTGCATTTAGAGGTGAAGTTAGACACATATACAGTTTCACACTCAAATTGTTCTCCCAGTGGAAAATACTGGGGAGATGAGCGTAGATGTATTCTTGCAGTCCAGTTACTTATCTATCTGCTGTAAACTTTGAAAATGTCTCTCTGTTTAAATAATCCACTGGAGAAATCTGACTCAATTTCCATTTTGTGGTCTTGAATGTCACCCTAAGAATCTTCAGAAATTGTCACTGCATTGAGGTTTGAGATGTTAAATTTAACTAATTTAATGCAGATGCTATACACACAAATAGTTGAGGAATGCTATTTTGTTTGTGAAGGAAAGTGCTATGTTCTTTCAAGCTGCTATGGCAAAGACTGTATCTACTTTGTGTATTTCCCCCCCTTTGCCTCAATCCACAATCCACTGAATGGTGGCTGTTTTCCTTCTCTTTTTTTTTTGTTTTTTGTTTGTTTGTTTGTTTTTAAATTTTGGGGGGGGGGGTATATGTGGAATGTCACTACTAATAATAGCACTGGTAGTAAGGAGTCTTCATCTCACTTCACGGGACAGGTAGAAAGCATCTATTTATTGAATCATAAGAAAAGGAACATCCTTGAGAAATTTGCCATTTGTCTATACAAATCATAGCTCTTACGCTGTTCAGTTGCAATTTTTAATAATGGAAATGGTATGGAGAAGCAATCAACATCGAATGCAGCTCACAGGAAATGACAGATTCCAAAGCTTTATTTTTCTTTCCTACCCAATCCAACATCAAACACTCGCTTTCATTTTACTTGCTAAAAAGGGGACAGAAAAAAAAAAGCCATAAAATTAATAAAATGCACATGAAAACCAACAGAAATGGGTACAGGGGAAAATAATACGCATTTGGATATGTCCAAAATGTCTCGCCTCTGATAGGCAAATCCCCATGATTGCTTTGAGAGTGGACTGATGCTGTCCTAGTAAACTAGAACAAGAGTAGATACACTTTCTAAATGTCATTGTCTAGATTTCACAGAAAGCTACTTACATATTTTTTATTTAGTTCATTCATTTAGACCTAGCTTTAAGGAGCACACATCTATTGTCTGGAGCCTTAGGACTAAATACTGCCACGTTAAAAGAGTTTTACATCATGTATTTAAATTCTTGTGTGCATTGGATGACTGTACCGTGTGAGGCCCTCGGACAATACATTCAACAGTCATGATTCAGCAATCCCTAAATGACTATGTACACAAATGTAATCTCTGAAATGACCACGAGATAAAGAGTTAGCAAGTTGAAGTTCTAATGGTGGCTTCTCTGAGTACACAACTAGTTCTGCAGATTTTTATTTTTCCATCCTTCTGACTTGTGCATGTAAAAGCCAGCAGCTGGAGCTTACAACTCTTATGTGTAGGAAGGAGGATAGTAATGCTATTAAGTCCCCAGGAAAAGGGGGGATCCCGTTAAGGAATTATTACACTCCCATTTATCTCGACCACTGTTAGCCAAAGTTGATCCAACTGTAGCTGAATCAAAGCTTTCCTTTTAGGTCTAAAGCAGTTCTAATGAAGTGTTTTGCTTAGTAATTATTGTAAATCCAACCATTTGAAGGCCTAAGTGTCTGTCTGGCCTCTGTGCATGGGGTTGAATTTCACCCACAAGGGAAGAGTAAGTTGCTTTGTCCACTTGCTTACTTAAACTTTGATTATTTTTTTTCCCCAGTCTTTTACAGGACATCATCTAGATATTTTAAATAGCATAAAACCATAAAAGACAAGCATTTCTAAAAGAAAGAGAAGCATTTAAAAAAACAGGCAATGATTAATATGTTGCTTTTCTGAAAACCCTAAGGTAAACAGTCCCATGCACCTTGGGGAAACCTTAGAAGATGTGACCCAATGAAGTTAAATGTGTGTGTCTATGTAATGCGTGTGTGTCTGTATATATGTGTTTGGGTTTTTTTAAAGTACGGTTCTGAAGGCCACATAAAACAGTTTGGTCAAATGTCTGTCTTGCTCTAGGCTGCTAAAGGATGTGGATTATTTAGCCCACGGTCTTCTGGTTCATACAGGTAAGACTGCAGAATAACAAGCAGTGTGATGTGGGCATGCTGCATGCATGACATGAAAATTTCTCTGCTGGTATAGCTGAATCGACTCAAATCACAGAACTGCTCACCACCTCCTGTAATTAAACTAGTGTGACTTGTGCATCGGAGGTTGTCTGATTTTAAACTTCCCCCCTAATCTTTGTGCTTAGTGTTTTGGCTGATTGCTTTTTAGGAAACACTAGCCACAAGGGCTTAGCTAATGGGCTGATGCTGTTGGGGCTTTTGACTTGAATTTGATGAAGAAATGGCTTTAGTAGTTTAAGGTATTACTTGTATCTGCTGTCCTCTCTTCCTACAGCACAGGCAGAACAGAATGTGTGCTGTAAAGCAGCAGCTTCAAGTCAGGACTGGAGATAGTAGCAAAGAGGGGCTTGCGCTAGCTGAAGCTAACATGCTTGTGTGAGGTAGCTGTGGCTAGGGCAGGCCTACTGGTTTGTTCTTTTATGAGAAATGAGCTTTAGGCAACTGGGGTGATGGTGCTTTAAGCTGCTGCAACAGCATGTTCCTGTGCTTGCCTATCAGCCCTGATTTTGGCTTATGATCCCTCAAGGAGAGTTTGGTTTGGATTCTGGCTGAATCATAATAGATGTGGCACTTGGGACATGGTTTAGTGGACGTGGTGGTGTTGGGTTGATGGCTGGACTGATGATCTTAGAGATCCTTTCCAACCTTCATAATTCCTAGTTTTTACTTTCACTAAAAAATAATCCAGCCACCAAGCCGGGAAACATGAAATTACTACTGTACCCTTAATTGGTTTAGTGGTGGACTTGGTAGTGTTAGGTTAATGGTTGGACTGGATGATCTTAAAGGTCTTTTCCAACCTAAATGATTCTATGATTTTGTAATCTCCTAGTTTCTAAATAGCATTTAGCTACACAGGAGCTCCTGGAGTGGTAACACAAACCTGCAGTGCCCTGCCCTTGGTCTCGATGGGCAGTGTGAATGCAGAGATTGCACACACGACGCACACAGATGAGAAAAGACACAGGGCCCCAATGAAGGAAGCACTCATAAGAACCTGCAGGTAAATGAACAGTTCAAACATCAGCTCAGTGGTATGGCGAGGCTGGCAGTTAATTAGTAATTAAAGAGTGGACAAAGAGCCACAAACACCTGAGAGACTTGGCAATAGAAAAACAATGTCTTGTGAATCTAAGAGCTTTCAGAAAGTAACAAATACTAGCAAGCTAAACTCTGGGAAGACATTTTTGCAGATTTGCATCTGACAAAGACCATGGAAGTACTCTGTAAACATTAGATAAAGAACTAATGAGTGGGGGCGGGAATCGCATACCTATCTTTTTTCTTTTTTTTTTTTTTTTTTTTTTTTTGTGACCTTCAGGGGCATCTCTGTATATTTGATAGCAATGATTGGCAAAATGTTTACCAACATTATCAGGCGTGCTCTTACTTGTGATATAAATGGGGCCACCATGGCTCCAACACGGCATAGTGACCCACTTGTTCCCATCCCCAGGGCTCGCATTGTGGTGGGATAAACCTAAAACAGGCCAGAGACAAATCGGATTAGTGCAACAATGATCTGTGATATGTGTCCTTATTATTTTTCCTTTTCTTTTTTTTCCTTAATTTCAGAGACACCCATTACATTGTCAAGGGCAGCTAGTGGGATAAGATACGAAAAGAAATAAAGGCTACTTTGGGTCTCTCTTGTGCCATTACAAATCTGCCAATTTTTGCCCCAAGTAAAGTTTTGGGGCAAGTCAATCAAAGCTGGATATGATTCCCCTGCTGTTTGCTTACCACCACCTTTCTCCCAGCTGTGCTGGGCAGCTCACATCAAAGTTGCAGAGGATAGGCAGGGTGCTAAAGGAAGAATTCAATTTATATTGCCAGGGCCTGTATCTGGAAAGCAGGAAGAAAGGATATTGTCTGCAGCCTTCAAGACTGCCTATTTATTTGTATCAACAGCACTTTTGTTTAGAAGGAGGAAAAAGAAAAACAGATCCCAATAAGAAACCTTCTGGCTTAGAAGAATGTGCTTTGTGTATTTTCTTTTTCACATCTCCCAAACACCTGTGCCAAAAAACCCACTTAAGCATGTGTTTTGCTTAAAGTTAAGTCCTGTTAATATCAACAGATTTTAGCAAGTATACTCATGGAAGCCTTTGTTTAAATACTTTACTGGGCCAAGCCAATGGAGGTAAGGTAATTCAAGAAGAGTCCAGGCATGTGGCCGGAAAGGGGATTTCCAAGTTTGGTTTTGATCACTGATTAAATTGTGAGTAGTATTATTATTGGTTTATGATATGGCCATTGCAGCGATGGTCTTTACATCAACAGCATCCAGTTTGGGACTATTAAAAAGTAGGTATTTACTCAAGCCTGGTGCATGCTTAAATAATATAGTGTACTATTAAAAGAAGTACCAGGCCAACTCAGGGATCTACTTCTGTTTGCATTTTATCACTTTAGTCAATCTGCAAGGCAATACATTTAACTCCACACAATTGTTTAAAAATGAACAACAAAAAACCCCAACAATGCCTGTGTCATCCACAGAACTCATGGCTCCAAAGTTGTCTGAAGGACAGGCTCTCTGAAGGATTAAAACTATTTGCAGACAGTGGAAATTGCTGTGTTCTAAGTGAAAAAAAATATGTGTGTGTATATGTATATATAACCTCATGTGCTATCTCATAGTACTACATCCCTTAAGCGCTGGAAAATGTTCCTTTCAGTGGTAGCCTATTTTCTAACTTTGCAGGGGTTGGGGAGGGGAAAGATTGTGGGGTTTGGAAGATGATTCAATGATTCTGTGGTGGTACACAACATCCTCAGAAATAACGTTTGGTAGTAGCTGCCCAACAGGTGGCTCAGTAGTGCATTCCTCTTCCACCTGCTCTTGTCATCTCCAAGTAGTTTTCTGATTCCTTCTCTGATCTTGCATATGAAAAAAGTGGGGCCAGGAAGCTGGAGATACTTAGTTCAAGGAAGGTGACACTAACTAGTCAATAAATATGGCAGCATTCATGGGTGTAGGCAAATGGCCTTTCATGCCCCAGAGCAGCTTAACGTACTTTCAGGAGGACCCACCTCTGCTGTGTAAATGTAGATGGTGTTGAAGTTTGCTGAAACCAAGGCACGCAGCATGAAGAGAAACCCAGTCATGCCTGTGCTAATGAGAAAGCCATGTGGAGCAAAGAGTTAGCATCACTGAACACTGATCAGCAGAGATGCAACCTAATATATACACTCTGCTAAGGCTTTTACCAGCTTAATATAAGGGAAAACAGAGCAAAAAGTTGATTGCTGACAAGTATAATCTTTCTTTAGTCCATTGGCAAGGCATGTTTGACAACGGGCTATGGCACCTTAGGTTTCCTTTAGGCCAGTGTTAGAGGCTGGAGGGAATGACCTGAACAGGACCACAGTGGCTCAGCTGGTGCTTTCGGCGTTGGGGTCAAGTCTGACTTCCAGCCTAGCCCTTGCTTTCGGTTCATGTATAAAACTGTTGTAAGCAAATACGATGGCCAAGCTCAGTTTCAGGAAAAACTGAAAATAACAGCTGTACAGAGGCCAATGCCTTACTGAATGGCTGTAAGCTTCCTGACAGGGCCTTATTTGGCTTAATGACTGTTTGCAGCCTCCCACTCCAGCTCCCAAGTATTTCAGCCAGTCTTCAGGACCAGTGGCTGACGGGACAGGCAGCAGGGGTGTACACCGCTGGCAAGCAGCTGTCAGGCTACCAGCCAGTTCAGAGGAAACTTCAGCTTGAAGCTGTCCTGATTCGCAGTAACTGTTAAGCTCTGCCAGCTTGAGAGGGGTCTTTCTTACACATCCTCACAAATCAATGTGATAATTACAGCACTCATGGCAGCCTTTCCCTTGATGCCTTGAGCGCCTCTTGAAGTGCCCGACTCTACAAGTTAGAGGAGACATATGTAGCATTGCCAAAAATGAAAGAAAGAGGAGAAAAAAGAGACTGAAAGAAAAATATGACCTCTTTCTGGCAGGTGTTCTTCACATTTTCAGTTTTCCAGACTGCACTAGAAATCAGCTAGTTGTATGCTTAGGGGAAGCCATGTGGCTCAGTAATACAAGTGAGTTGCTCTGCACGCCCCTGCACTACAGCATCTGCTGCCGCAGGTTTTTCGGGAAGTGCAGGGAACCAGTCAGAGGGGTTTTTTTCAGGAGTACAAGAATTACTGGCCTGACTGGTGACCTAAGAATACCACAGGTACTGCCCTCTGCCCACAGCATTGCACACCCCCCCGCCCAACACTGCCTGCATGCTGAGCGAGACTACCTTGAGGTGCAGATATTAAGGAGAAGAAAGAATAGCGCCGTACATCCCATGGTGATACACAAGCTCAGGCGCCTTCCGAGGAAATTGATGCTGAGAATGTTCAAAGGATTTACTGGAGATAAAAAGGAAAACCATAAAATGTTACATGACCTAACTGCAATGATTGTCTGTCTTGATAGACCTTACGCAGCGTGCCTCAAAAATACCTATCTGCATTCCCCAGTGCCTACCAAATGCTCTACAAAATGCACAAATCCTATAATTTCCTTCCTGTACCCAAACCCTGTAGTTTGCCCCCCTGCCCCTTTTTTTGTTTGTCCTTCCTCTCGGAGGATGGAGCCTGTCCTCTGAAATTGCCCTGCTGCATGGCAGGATAGCAGCGCTGGTCCAGAGCCATGAGTAGCACAGGCAAGCAAGGCACCCCGCTGGGTGGACACCACTGGCCTGGGTGGTTTTGCTCCCTCTGGCCATGGCCCAGCCAAACACAGGGGCCCAGAGTATGCCCCATTGAGGCCCCTCATGAGCGGGGCTGATCCCAGCCTGGCTGCACCCGCAGGATCCAACACCCAGTCATTTTTGTGGCTCAGTTGCTGAGACATGAACCAGGGAAAATGTTCACCTTCCATGAGTGTTGCAATGCTAGACCCAAACACACGGTGCCAAGTTCTTTCATGGGTGTCATGTGGCTGCCTTTGGGCCATTCCCCAGTCCTCCCTGGCAGATTGCACCAGGAGGCATTTTGGTTTTCTGCAGATTCCCTGGGCACTGTCCTTTACTGTAGCGCTCAGCGCAGGACCTGCTCCTCAGGCCACCATCTCTTTGCAAGTAGGGCACTTGTGTGGTGCACTCAGTTACATCAATGTGGCTGTTTGCAATCCTTGCTTATTTATGACTTTCCAAAAACTACATGTCTGGGAATTTGGGAAGCCAGGCTTGGTTCTGGTAAGTTAGGATTAATTTCCCCTGGAATCTAACTGAGGCTGTCAGTACATACTAATTGCAAAGGAGGTCTTTGGCTCTGCTGTTGGAAGAACCTGTGCTGAAGTTGAATTATTCACCTGGGGAGCAATGCCCTCCCTTGCCACCAGCTCGTGACCCGTGTCCCAGACCTTCCTTTGAAGAGCCTGTTCCTGGCACTTGCCAGCAATTCTGAGGACATCTCAACCTCTGGCACATCACTAAATGCATGCAAAAGCTTTTAGCTTTGCAGCAAGTATTGGCTAGCTGTAAAAAGGGAATGGCAGGGCAGGGCGGGGAGAAGGGTGGGGAGAAGAGGTTACGTGCGATCTCTCCGACTGTGCTGATGAGCATGGTCTGGTAGGCAGCGGGCCCGAACATGTGGCAGTGGCAGGGGCTGCGGCTCTCCTCAGAGTCATCACTGGGGTCCTGCACCAGTGGTGCTGCAGAGCCACAGACGAGGTCCCGCTCCAGTAACTCAGCGCTGGCCAAGATGACACCGTAATAAGCGAAAGCTATGCCAAGCCTGTTGGGGCAAACACTGCAGTGAGTGGCAGCAACAACAAGGAAGGTGAGGAAACTGAAACGCATCAGGTTTTGGGTGCCCTGGGACTCCCTGCTGTGTGCACCAGCTCTGCGTGATGGACCCTCCCTTAGCCTGACCCTAGCAGTGACTTGGGCACCCACTGGTCACCCCCCCATGGCACACCACTACTACCTATGTCCATG